TCATGATTTTAATAATAAAACATTAAATCTTTTTAAAAAATATGTTCAAAGTTTCGTTTCCAAAACTTTAAAATAAAACTAAAATTTCTCCAAAAATAGTCTATGATTAATTGGCACTTAGACGTTTTTTGAAATGTTGAAATGCTTGTGAATCGCGGAAATGTTTTTAAAGAAATGTTAGATATTTTTCATCAGCTAGCCCATCTTTTCGGCTCGTTCCCATGTGCCTTTAATTTGTTCATTTATAGATTTTTTTTCTTTGCCTAACAACAACACAAATTATATTATACGTTTCTTTGGCTCATTTTGTATTGCTAATTGACGAGTAAGGAATTCATGAACCATCTTAAAAAACCAAACGTAACCACTTGATGTAAGCTTTAGCAAGACTAATAATTATCCACAATATCACATACACTTGTTGACCTAGATAATTTTACATCATCTCAAAACTTTCCAAATAACAGATGTGATCATGCTTCTCTTGTAAATAGGTGACTTTCCAGGAGGAAACATTAGTGGAGGATAATCCTTCTTCTCACTACTTGATGCCATTTCTACACATATGAGAAATAAATTTTTAAAACTCTACTATTACAGGATTAAAAACTCTGTACATCGATCTAAATAAGTCTCCCCGTCACACATTGATAACATTAGAATATGTCTACGAGATCAATATAACACGCGCCAAATTACTTAAATAGGTGAACTTGCTATACATATTTATATTTATTTCGATAACAAAACATAAATAGGTGAAATACTGAAATTAATATGTAGGATTTATATAATCATTAGTATGTAGGGAAGATTTTAACAAATATAAAATTGAGCGAAACATAAGCAAATGTTATTTATTTCAATATCTTTTAAGTGTAAAATTGATCTATTATTCATATAAATTATAAAGCATACTTAAATCAAAGAAGTTTTAGATTTATATGAATTTATCAAATATAATAAATTAAAAACAATATGTGTTTCCAAATAATGAAATGGATAAATATTTGTACGTGCAATTAAATATGTATAATAGACTACATCAAGTGGGGGATGAATATTAGAAAGCAAAGGATTAAAAGGGCAACAATTGGACAGGTTGAGATTGTGTAATACAACTACTCAATTTGTTTTTAGTTGATTCTTCAATAGAAAGTAGTAATGTTTGAGATGAGGTATGCATTGGTATGGTAGGTAAAGGTTACTTGGAATTTTATAAACAATTCTCAATTT